GCAGGTTAAAAGTTAAAGTATTAAAAAATATACATGGCCAAAACTAATCCAAAGAAAGCCTAAATGGCTATGTTTTATCACACAATATAGACTTCAGGGAAAATAAAATTACCAGGAATAAGGAAGGACATCACATAGTTCTAAAAGGTGAAAATCAGCAAGAAGATGTAATAATCCTAAACATGATTGCACTGGAAACAGAGTTCCAAAATAAATGAAGCAAAGACTGATAGAATTAAAGGAGAACTAGATCCATAATTATAGTTAGAGACTTTAACACTGTTCTGGAACAACACTATTAACCAGCTTCATTAATTTGTGATTTGCCCCATCATAAACCACTGGGCAGAATAAGAACATTGAAAATAATGAACAGAGCTTAAGAGGCCTATAGAACAGTATCAAAAGGTCTAAAATTTATGTCATTAAAGCATCAGGCAAGGAGATAGGTACAAAACAAAACAAAACAACAAAACGCCTGAAGAAATAATGGCTACCAGCTCCCCACACTTGGTATCATTTGCCCTCTCAATTCTTTTCCTATACTCTGTTTATGAAAACTGAATCGTAGTACTTTTAATCTTTTGCTTACTACATGGACTTATTTTTATATGAATATAGGACTAGAGCTCTCTTCCTGGAGTTTTTATTTTAAAAATAGTTTTACTCTTACAGAAATGTTTCAAAAATAGAAAGTTCCTGTATACCTTTCACCAGTTTCCCCTAATGTTAACATTTTATGTAACCATGATGTAATTATCAAAGCTAGGAAATTACCATTGGTTCAATCTTAATAACTAAACTACAGACTTTATTTTTCTTTCCCTTCATGTGTATTTTTGTTCCAAGATCCCACATTACATTTATTTGCCACATCTCCTTAGTCTCCTCCACTCTGCGACAGTTCTTCAGTCTTCCCTTGTCTTTTTTTTCTTTTTAAAGTTTTTATTGTCTTGGTTTTGTTGTTGTTGTTTTTCCTTGTCTTTCATGATCTTGACACTTTTGCAGAATACTGCTAAGTTATTTTGTAAATTGTCTCTTAGTTTAGCTTAGTCAAGTGTTTTTATGATTAGATTAAGGTGATGCATTTTGGGCAAGAGGTCAACAGTGATGGTTAGGGAGGTACCTGCCAGGTTTCTACACTGTAAAGGTAATGTTTTTTCCTTTAGAATAAAAAATATATATTGGAGGAGATTCTTTGAGAATTGTCTTCTCACCCTTAACTTAGGTTGTGCTGGGAAATACTGTCATGGTACCCTGTGCCTCAGACCCAGCCTGATGTACTCTGGGAGTACTGCTGTTCACCCTTGACATTAACCTTGGATGTAATAAAGTATGGGTATATTCATTGCTTTAAAAAATATCCAAGTTACTTACTAGAATTATTTTATATACACATAAAATTGACATTTATTTTTAAAGCAAATTTTAACTGCTTATTACTGATATTTAAAGATTTTATTTATTTTTAGAGAGACGGGAAGAGAGGGAGAAACAGAGGAAGAGAAGATCAATGTGTTGGAGAATCCATTGGTTGCCTCTCACAGAACCTGGCGCAAAACCCCGTGCCCTGACGGGGAATTGAACCCGCGACCTGCCAGCTCTCAATACACGGAGCCACACCAGCCAGGGCTACTGATATTTATGCATTGATTTTTTCCCCCCATAAAACACATACATTGATTTATACTTTAATCTTTTACCCAAAATCGTTAAAAAATAAAATCGTTATTTAACCGTTCTACCAATTTATGAAACGTGTAGCGTCTGTTTTGATTTCTAAGTAAACAATTACATTGCCAATAATAAAGAGGTCCAATTCTCGGAATTTTAACATATTTTTCTCCAAATAAAAAAGTATGGTATGGAATTATTTTTGGCAAACTGCGCCGCAAATAAAAATAAGGGCCTACAATAATAATGCCATTGGATTAAAACCATAGGAGAAAAAATATCCTTGAGTCCATATGTACATCAATAAATGAGGGAGTAGGAACAGCCCTCCAGGATACGTTGTCCTGGAGACGGCGGCGGAGCGGACGGGGTCAAAGCCAGCTACTCCGGAGGTAAAAGCTGGGCGCCCTGCAGACAGAACCCTGCTCTGGCGAAAGGAACTGAAGGTCTGCAGACCGGAGCAGAAGTGATGAGTGGGAACGTTCCCCTCGCACCGAGCAGAGCGGGGCGGGGCGGGGCGGGGCGGGGCCTCCAGGGACGCTCACAGGCAAATCTTGGCTCGCGCATGCGCGCTCGCCGGAACATGGCTGCCGCCACTGGCTCCTCATTTGAGGTGAGTCCCGCCGCGCCCTCTGTATTTCTGTTTCTCACTTTCCTCCTGCAGGGAGTATCTGTGTCCGCCGGGCCCCGGTAGGTCTTGAGTGGCGCGTTGGCCACGGGTTCCAGGGCGCGGTCCGCTCAGAGGGCGGGGATGACCCGGGGCGCGGCCGCCCTCCTGCGAGGACGCCCCCAGCGCTGGAGGACGGCTCCCGCCCCGTAAAAATAGTGCTCAGGATGTGGGGTCTTCTCTTGGCCTACGTCCCTCTCTTCGCGGAGCTTAGCTGTTCTGCGCTAGTATCTGCTGGCCTTTCCTCAGGGACAGTTTCGCGCGGGCCTGCCTCATGTCCTGGATGCGCTGCAGCGGCGACCCCCCTCTACCGCGCCTCTGTTGCAGGGTGGTGGGAGGGCCGTGGTGCCGGCCACCTGTGCGGTTTCCCTCTGAGTCCCGCAGGTATTAGATCATCTCTTACTCCTCCCTTCCCCACCTGATATCTACCAAGTCCGGTCTTGGTGCAGTTCCCAGTGAGGGCCGCATTTTTCACCTGTTTTTGTGGCCGTTTTACTTTTCCTTGGTTTTGGTAGTTCATTTCTTTAGTTCCTCTTCCTCCAATAGTTCATGATAAAAGTTTTCATATGTGCAGAAAAGTTGAAATTCTCGTGCGACCTTATAGCGACCCATTAACATTTATGCTTGCTATATCTCGTATTTCCCCTTATCCATCCTTTTACCCATCCATTAAATATTTTTAGGGATACATTTAAATTAAATGGCAGATACCACCGCGCTTTCCCCTCGCCGTCCTTAACATCAGCTGGAGTTCATTACTATTGCTTAAGTAAAATTTTGAGGCAAAATTGGATGAGTTTTGACAAATGCAACCGAAACCTTTCTCAAAATTACCGTTACCCCAGTAAGATCCCTTATTCTTCGTCTATTTAAAAATGTGGTCATTAGGCACTTGGGCCTGTGAACATGTTTTCAATACCAAACCCTTATTTGTTTGGTTCATTTCCCCCACAGCAAGTAACTTCCCTCCATTCTATTGCTTGTTTCCTCTCCCTTCCCACACAAGTTTCTAAAAAACGAAGATTCTATTTATTTATTTTTAGAGGGGAAGGGAGGGAGAAAGAGAGAAACATTGATGTGTGAGAGAAACGTCATCACACACCCCCAACTGGGGACCTGGCCCACAGCCCAGCTATGTGCCCTGACTGGGAATCCAACCAACACCTTTGCACTTGGTGGGAGGAGGCCCAACTGAGCCACATTGATCAGGGAAAACCTACATGTTTTTTGATTGGAGTATTTAATCCATTTACATTTGCAGTAATTATTGATGGATATGTAGTTACTGCCATTTTATTATTTATTATTCTTTTTCTTAAAGAAGTCCCTTTAATGTTTCTTGTAATACTGGTTTGGTGGTGATGAACTCCCTTATTTCTTGTCTGGGACCAACTTTTATTTTTTATTTTTATTTTTATTTTTTAATTGTATTTTTAAAGATTTTATTTATTCATCTTTAGAGAGAAGGGAAGGGAGGGAGAAAGAAAGAGAAACATCAATGTGTGGTTGTTTCTCCTGCTCCCCCCACTGGGAACCTGGCCTGCAACCCAGGCATGTGCCCTGACCAGGAATTGAACTGGTGACCCTTTGGTTCACAGGCCCACACTCAATCCACTGAGCTACACCAGCCATGGCCTGACTTTTTTTTTTTTTTTTTAAATATTTTATTTATTTATTTTTAGAGAGGGAAGGGAGGGAGATAGAGAGAGAGAGAGAAACATTAATGTGCAGTTGCTGGGGGTTATGGTCTGCAACCCAGGAATGTACCCTGGCTGGGAATCGAACCTGGGACACTTTGGTTCCCCGCCCGCGCTCAATCCACTGAGCTACGCCAGCCAGGGCTTAAAAGTGTTATACTTACAGAAAAGTTGTAGTAATAGTTTGACGAACACTAGTAAAACCATTCTCAAGTTAATACTTTGCTACATAAGCTTTACCTTTCTTTTCTCCTTGTCTCAAATACTAATATATATACTCTCTTCATATATTTTACACATACACCCCCAAGAAGATAAAAGTTTGATTATTCACATAATGAGGCGTCCTTGAGAGAGCGGGGTAGTCTTCTCAAAGTAATCCAAAAATAGCCTGAGAGAGCAGGAAAAGGAGGCTGGCTGGGTTTTTATTGTGATTCCAGAGTGGAGCTGGCATGAGGGTGGCTTTGCCTTACTTGGGGCTTTCATGGTTTGAACTTCCTGCTAACTCCAAGGAGAAAGTATTCAGGCTTTCTCATTAGCTTGCCTAGATGTGGGGTGGAAGGAGGTGACAGGGTGGAGAGGTGCTTGAAAGCTGTTAGTAGTTAATCATCAAAAGTGGAGTCAGACTTGATCACAATTGGTAGGCAGGGAGATGACTTTATTAGGATGGGGATAAATTTGGTAGACAAGAATCTATTTTTGTTAAAGAATACATCATTTCCCTGGCTGGTGTGGCTCAGTGTATTGAGTGCCGCTTGTGACCCAAAATGTTGCTGGTTCAATTCCCAGTCAGGGTACATGTCTGGGTTTTTGACTGGGTCTCCATTTAGAGGCATTTGAGAGGCAGCTAATCATTTCTCTCTCTCTTTCTCCTTCCCTTTCCCTCTCTCTGCAAATAAAAAAAATCTTTACAAAAATGCATTGTTTGAACAAGTAAACATTATCATCATGTTTGGTCCACAGAGATGGCAGGAACCATGCAGACGGCCTTGTATAGCTGAGGTCTGGCAGCCCTCAATTTTTAACATCCGGACTCTGGGCCTAAGTGGATTTCTTTGCAGGCTCCTGGAGACTGGGGATAAAGCCCTTCAGAGGTGAGTGCCTGGGAATAGAATTCTACACAACCTTGGCATATCTTATAAAACTGTTACTTCATGAAGTCTTAGGTCCAGAATTGTGCCAGGTGGGGTCTAGACCAGTGGTTATGACCCAGACAGACTCAACACCTGCTTATTTTTTTTCAAATGCAGTTTTAACCCTGCCAGTTGTGGCTCAGTGGTTGAGTGCCAGCCTGGGAATCTAATGGTTGCTGGTTAAATTCTCAGTCAGGGCACATGCCTGGGTTGTAGGCCAGGTCCCCAGTAGGGGACGTGTGAGAGGCAACCATCCATTGATGTTTCTCTCCCTCTCTCCTTCCCTCCCCCTCTCTAAAAAATAAATAAAATCTTTAAAAAAATTTTAAATGCAATTTTATTGAGATATAATTCACAAACCATATAGTTCACCATCCTAAGATATAAAATTTGGTGGTTTTTAGTATACTTACTAGGTTGTATAGTTGTATATCCATTACCAGTAACAATTTTAGAATGTTTATTTTTATTTTTTAAATGTTTATTGATTTTAGAGAGACAGAAGAAGGGAGAGAGAGAAACATCGATTTGTTGTTCCACTTCTTTATGCATTCATTGGTTGCTTCTTGTGCCCCAAATGGAGATCAAACCCACAATCTTGGCTATTGGGATGATGTTCTAACCAACTGAGCTATCTGAACAGGGCAATAGAATGTTTTTATCATCCCTGTAAAGAAGGCCTGTGTCCATTAGCAGTCACTCCATATCTTCTCTCTCCCATTTAGTCCTAGGCAATCACTTTGAGTTTATTTTTGGGTAATGCTCATTCTTTATGATCAAGTTTGCAATGTGCCTTTTACCAATCCAAAAGAAATTTTATAGATAATATTACATATCCACATAATTGTAAAAATTCTAAAGTCCTATGTACATGTAAAGAGTCAGTTAAAAAAAGAGTCAATACAAAGAAAGGCATTTGTATTAAAATATGTATGTTTGTATTTAAGTGCTTGGATACAGCTACCATATGACATAGGAAGCAGTCTGGTGCTGGAGACTATAGGTTTGGATTAAGAGAAATAGAATAGTCAGAATTTATTGTTTTCAGTGAAATTGAATGAGGTAAGGTATGGGTAGGTACTGCTGGAACAGTGAATATTGGAGAAGTGGACCTAGACCAGGTGTATTAAGAAGGAAAGGAAGAAACATAGTACCTTGGTGGGAGTGGGTTCTGAGCACTTACACTACAAGGTAGTCCAGGGTGTCCAGATAAGCTGGGTTGTATCCACAGGTGAGTCATCCCCTGTGTTATGATCTGGAACAACATGAGGACAATTTATCACAGAAAGCTTTCTAGACCTGATGTGTCAGCATGTGCTGGGGTAACATTCAGTGTGTAGAAACCCTTGGAAACCACCATCTTCAATGGGCATGGGGAATAGAAAGACAGGCTGGGGAAAATTACTAATGCTGGGGCTTCAGAGAAGTGGTATAGTGGACATTCGAGAAAAGGATCTGTGGATGAGTGGGAGGGATACATTGATCCCAAAAGTATGTGAACAGCATCAAGATGAATTTTTGTGAAGGTTTTCTTTATTTTTTTGTTTTAGAGAGAGGGGAAGGGGGGGAGAAAGAGAGGGAGAGAAACATCAATGTACGAGAGAAGCATTGATCAGTTGTCACCTGCGTGCACCCCAATCAGAGACCCAACCTGCAACCCAGGTAAAATTAAACTGGTGACCTTTTGCTTTGCTGGACAATGCCCAGCCAACTGAGCCACAGTGGTCAGGGCAAGATGAAATTTTTAAAATAATTTTTACATTGTTGTATTGCTAAAACCAGTAATACACAAATACATATGAAGGAAATTATGTGAGATATTTTATTTCTTAGTTTTTTATTTTTAAGAATTTTTAGAAGTTTGTTTGAGCTAAACTGATAACATATGCCCTAGAGCAAGATCTCAAATGCTCCTGAGACATTTTTAAAACAAACAACTAATGAAATTCGGTGTGATTCCTGCATTAAAAGCTCTGCTTTAATACTATTTTCCCAAAGTTGGTCCTAATGTACTCCTGGTCATCATTTGTTTTTTTGTTTTGCATTCTTTTTTTGGTCCTTTTTGTCTTTTTGTTCAATTTTGTCTTTTTGCAATAACCTCACTATGGCACTCACACCCTCATTGACTGAAGGTGTATTTGGAATGGCCAGTTTTGTCAAGGAGGGAGGTGCAGAGTAGGGAATGAGTTCATGAATTCAGTGCAATATCTGGACTTCCTATTAGCTTCCTTGTTAACAAAAGCACCCTTTTCGTAATGTCTTGTAATACATGCAGTATTGTTCTGTTCTGAAGTACCCCAGAATGATACCTGTAGAGTCTGTGGGACACAGGATGGTTAGACATCATGTGGGACAGTTCCAGGTATGGTAGCAAATCTGCCTCCCCAGCCTAGGCCCATCCAATGTTAGGAATTCCCCTGGCTCCATCTTTGTGACAGCCTAACACCTGCAGATTGCCAGATGCCCCCAGGGGATACTGCCAAGGGGAAGTGCTGCAGGTCCAGCTGGGGGAGATTCATCTCTTATAGGGCATATGTCGGGGCTTAGCATCACTAGCATTGTTCTTGAAGGTGTTAATTTACTTTTTACAGTTTTATCGAGTTGTAATTCATATAATACACAATTCATCCAAAGTTTACAATTTGGTAGTTTTCAGTATATTCACAGTTTTGCAGCCATCACCACTATGTAATTTCAGAACATTTTTATCAGACCAAGAAAACAATTCATACCCATTATCATTTATTTCCCATTCCCCCTTTCTCCCAGCTCCTGACAACTACAAATAGTCTTTAAGTTTTTATGGAATTACTTGTTTTGAACATGATATAAATGGGATCATATAATGTATCATTCTTTTACTGAGCATAACGTGTTAGGTTCATCTATGTTATTGAAGCACATATCAGTATTTCATTTCTTCTTATGACTGAAGAATAATAGAATATTCCATTATATAGATTTTTTATTTTTAAAAAATATTTTACTTATTTATTTTTAGAGGAGAAGGGAGGGAGAAAGAGAGGGAGAGACACTTTGACATGAGAGAGAAACATCGATTGGTTGCCTTTGTATATGCCCTGACTTGGGACTGAACCTGCAACCTAGGCATGTGCCCTGACTGGGAATCAAACCTGTGACCCATTGTTTTGTGTAACAGTGCCCAACAAACTGAGCCACACCAGCCAGGGCCATTATGTGGATTTTCACATTTTGTTTAGTTATTCACCTGTCAGTTGATGTACATTTATTTGGATTGTTTCTACTCTTTGTTTATCATGAATTATGCTGCTATTCATGGTACAGGTTTATTTGTAGACATGTTTGCTTTTTTTTTAAATGGATACCTAGGAGTGGAATTGCTAGGTCATATGATGACTGTGTGTTTAAGTTTTCAAGAAACAGACTGTTTTCCAAAGCAGCTATACCATTTTACATTCCTACCAACAGTGTGTGAGGGTTCCAGTTTCTTTACTTCCTCACAACACTTGTTATTTTCTGGGGTTTTTTTTTTAGTTGGCCAGAAGTGATGTTGATGAACTTTTCATGTACTCTTATATCTTCTGTGCATAAATCCTTTATCAGATGTGCACTTTGCAGATCTTTTCTACTGTTTGGTCGGTCATCCATATTTCTTACTGGTGTATAAGTCTTATTTCAGTAAACGTGTCTATTATAGATGAAATGGACATTTCCTTTGCTCCTGAAGGACATTTCCTTTGTTCCCTTCGATGCCCCTAAGACCTTCATGATCACATCTTTGGTAGGTATCTTGCCAGGGCATTTTAATATTTTTACCTCAATATTTTGTTTGTCTAAAGTTTTCCAAAGTGGTATCCTTTTGTATGGGTCTGTCTTACCTTGTTTAAATGCACACATGCATCCTCCCCCAATGGACCTGTGGCAGGTGCTCTCCATTTCTTGTTTTCACAGGACAGTCATAGGTCACCCATGCCCTAGTTTACTCAGAGGGCCCAATATAGGGAACATGTGGCAAGGTAGCCAGGCAGGCTCAGGAGTCCATCTCATTAGGAGTGACAGCCGGGGGCATGGTCATCTGGCCCTTTGACATTACTGTTGAATGCCATGGATGCAGCAGACATGTGGGGTCTTAGTCTTCACTTCAGAGTGAACAGTCCTTTATTTCTTTATTAGGTGTGACATTTACCTTAATTCCTCATGTTCTTAGTTGTTAATAATTTTCATCATGAATCAGAGCTTTCCTTAAAGTACTTCCTGAATTTATTGACATATTGTAAAGGAGCCTTCTACTTTAGTCAGGGAGCATTTTGATCAGGAGTCTGGGTGAGGTTTCTTTAAATTAGTGCTTTATGAATATATTGAGATTTGTTGCAGGGGGCTGTCTTCTACTTTTACCTGAAAATGTGGGAATTGTGTCCATGGATATTTTAATGTCCCACCATCCTCTCATTGCTAGGATAAATCCAGCATTACCACTTTTTACTGTTCCTTAGTTAAATCCCCTTTGCCTGACTGATAGCACTTATATGTACCTCCTCTCTCTTTTTAAATGATCATTGTTGCCAAAGGCATATCTATTTAATTGGTCTTTTCAAGTAACAGACTTTTGATTTTCTTCATCATCTTGGTTGTCTCCACGTTTTCAGGTTCTGTAATTTCTGCTCTTTATTTTTTTTCTCTCTCTTTTTTCCCTTCTCTTACCTTTATTATCACCTTTCACTTCTTATTCATTTACTCCATGGTTCTTTCCTTTAAGTCTTGTGTTGTTTTTTTTTAATTCCCATTCAAGGGCTTTTTTTTTTCTCTTCATTGTTTTTAGATAGAGGAACATTGATGTGAGAGAGAAACATTGCTTGGTTGCCTCCTGTACATACCTGGACCAGGGATCTGACTTGCAACCTAGGTATGTGCCCTGACCAGGAATCAAATCCACAATTCTTCAGTTATGGGACGATACTCCTACCAACTGAGCTATTCAGGCCAGGGCTTCCTTAAGTCTTAAGAAACAGTGAGCTTACTAACCTTTAGTCTTTTTTAAATGTAAGCATGAAAGCCAGTATTTTCTACCTGGGAACTATGTTAGCTGCTTCCTCATTTGCCATACATTTTGAGTTGTTCCGTTTCATCATTTGTTTAGTTCTAGGTGTTTTCTAATGTCTGTCAAGATTTCTCTTTATCTGTGAATTATTGAGAAATAATTTTTTGTTTTTCCAAATAAATAAAGGTTTTTTTTTTATATTGTTTTTCTTATATTTGGTTTTGTTTCTGTTACTGGGTTTTAACTAGACCATATTTGTCAAGAGGCTGTGGCCTGGCATTTGTTGAACTTTTTATTTGGCCTGGTTTATGACTAGTGTTAGCAAATGTTCCATTTGTGCTTGCAAAGCATTTGGCTCTAATTGTTGGTACTGTACTCTTCATCAAGCTGTACAATCAGGCTGGTTGATTATATCCTCTCCTGCTCATTTCTAATCAGTTTTTCTGAATTTCTATGTCTGAATGAAGTTCATTAAAACATCCCAGTATGGTTGGGTTTGCTGATTTCTGCTAATTTTGATTTGTAATCCTGACTGACTTTGCTTTGTGTTGGTTAGCAAAGAGTCATAAAATCTTTGTTTGGTTAGCATTCGTCTCTTCCAAACTTTTGCTGTTGTTTTCTATGTTTTTTTTTGTTTGTTTTTTTTGTTTTTTTTTTTTAGTTTAGGTGTGTCTGTTACAAACACATTGTGGTGCAGCATCTTTATCTGGCCAACATGGCCATATACATTTATTGTTGTTTTATACTTTCTATTTAATCTGTCTTCTGGGCTTTACCCCTTAATACCTTCTGGATTGATCTGGTTTTCTTTTCTCTATTATCTTTCCTCCTACAACAGGATTTTTCCAAGTTAGCACTGTTGACATTGGGACTGGATCATTCTGTGTTGTGAGGGGCTTTCCTGTGTATTGAAGGGTGTTTAGCAGTGTTCCTGGCTTCAGTGTGCTAGATTCCAGTGGAACCACTCCCCAGCGATGACAAGCAAAATGTCTCCCGGCATCCCAAAATGTCCTTTGTGGGTAAAACTGTCCCAAGTTGAAAACCACTACTCTGTGGGCTTAGAAGTTTTACATGATATTTATTTTGTTCCTGACTTGCCCAGGTCTCACCTGAATCATGAAAAATGTAAGGGCATCAAGACACTCAAGTTTCTTTTTTCTTTTTTTTTTTAATTTAATTTTATTTTAATTGCTGTTCAAGTATAGGACACTTAAGTTTCTTACTTTTTTCCCATCTCTCAGTCTACTGACACCCAGGGTTTTAGTACATCCTATTCTTAACCCCATGAGTCACTTACTGCTGCATTTTGTATGGTCTGGATTTGATTTTAATACACATTCATCATTTCCTTTTCTTTCCATTTTTTTTCCTTATGGGTTTTTTATTGAAGAATAACTTCTCCAGTTCTTTTGGCTATTGACTTTGGAGGTAAACTCTGCTTCTGCTTAAAAAAATTTTTTTTGTTTTACTTGTTGATTTGACAGAGAAAAACTTGTTGTTCCACTTATGCATTCATTTATTGAGTCTTGTATGTGCTTTGACTGGGGATCAAACTTACAACTTTTGGTGTATGGGAATGATGCTCTAACCCACAGAGCTACTTGGCTAAGGCCTGCTTCTGCTTTTCTGAAGTTGTCTTTATCTTACCTTCACTGTTGAACAATAACATATCTGACCATTTTTTCCCTCAGCACTTTGAAAATAACCTCCCATTACTAGCAGATTTCTGTTTTGCTATCATGATACTTTTCATTCCTTTATGAGTGGTCTGTCTTCTCCCTGCTGGTCTTTAAGACCCTACTTGACATAGAATGATGTGCACTTAGGCTCAGGGGTCATGCTTTCTGAGCCTGAGAACCTACAGGAGGAATCACTGGGTAGAGGAATGTGCCTATTTTATGTTTTGACAGCTACTATCAGATCACCAAGTGGGTGGCCATGCTCAGTGCCTGCTGACTCTTCCTGCATGAGCTGCCCAAACTTTACATTTTCATACCTTATTTTATTTTAATTTTTTAATTATTTACTTACTTTTTTTTTATAGAGGGGGAAGAGAAGAAGAGAGGGAGAACATCAATGTGTGGTTGCCTCTTATGCGCCCCCTACTGGGAACCTGGCCTACAATCCAGGCATGTGCCCTGACTGGGAATTGAACTAGTGACCCTTTGGTTCATGGGCCTGCACTCAGTCCACTGAGCCACACTAGCCAGGTTCACACCTTATTTTACTTTTACTCATATGAAATATGCATATTTGATGTTCATTCTTAAAGTTGTTGTTTATAATTGCCTGAATGATGGTGGGAAAGAGCAGATATCCATGTTTTCAAGGCATTTCTACTTTCTCTGTGAAGTGTCTCTTTGTATCCTTCAACCAGTTTTTTTTCTTTTTTTGTGTTGTTCTGTAAAAATTCTTTTTAGCTCTCGGCACTATTCCTTTGTCTCTTTTATATTTTATAATAATACTTTCTCTCCACCTACCACTTGTACTTTAATTCTTAATTGTGTCTGTTGTTGTATGGAAAGTTTGATGTTGCTGTAAAAGTTGTTAATCCTGATTTGTATGGTTTTTGGTTGTTAAGCCCTATTGATCCAGGAGTACCCATTCATGAAGGTATCCTACAGAATTTGAACTTTGATTTTAAGTTGAGGTCTTTACCTGGAATTTTTTAAAAATATTTTTTCTAAGGTAAGGGTCCAGTTAATATCATTGTACCTAAAAAAATATGTGGAGAGCCAGTTGTCTTGATACCATGAAGTGGAGGTGTGGGAGGGTGGTTACAGGAGGATCAAGAACAGTGATGACACTGGCAGCCACCTACAGAGCGCTGCCCCTTCTCCAGCTCAGAGCCAGCCTCCGACATGATCTAACTCTCCTAATATTCCTGTAGGGCAGTCACTCAGCTTGTGCTCCATTCCATTCTTGAAGGTAGAGCTCTGACCACCAAGCTGGGGCAGATTTGCTCATTCATCAGTGCTGTACATACATTTTGCCTTCACAGCTTTGAAATGTGTGATGGTTGTTATACGGGTGATGGGAACTAGCACACAGTGGCTGAGAAGGTGGCCCAGTGTGAGCAGGGCACCTGGCCTCTGGTCTCTCACTTGGCAGGCTAATCCTGTTGGTGATATTTACCCAGTACTCTCCTGCCTGTTCTTTAGGAGGATAAAGACTGTGTGACTGCCTTTGAACTTACCTCCATGACTTGATTCTCATTTCATCGCCCTCTTGTATAGATGTGAATTTCAGAAGCTCTGGAAGGTAGCTCAGTTGTTTAGAGTGTTACCCCAATGCACTAGGGTTATAGGTTTGATTATCAGTTAGGACACATGCAGGAGTTAACCAGTGAATGCACGAGTGGGTGGAACAACAAATCAGTGTTTCTCTGCTCCTCAGATCAATCTTAAAAAACTTAAAAAAGTAAAATATCCCTGCCTGGCACCATTTCTCATTATAGTTATATGCATAGGTTCATGTACTGAAGTTTGTCTTTTTCATTCTTCACTTTTCAGCATGGGGCACGAGAGTGAAAATGACAGCTCAGAATATTCCTGAGGAAGAACTACCCTGTGTTGTGGAAATGGAAGGGTTTACAAGAGAGGGCCTCCATTTCTCCATTCTAGGTGACAGTTGGGACTATAAGAACTGGGAGGGACACCTGAGGCAGTCAGCTTTAAGTCAGGAAAAGTCAGGGGCTCAGGAAGCAATTTGTGAGTATCCTGGACTTGGGAGGCCTTTGAATGCAAGCTCAGACCTTTTACCCTCTCAGAGGATCCCTACATCAAACAGTTTCCATATACATGACTCAGAGGTTAGAAGTTTGGATTGTGACTCAGCTTTACCCAGTTCTCAGAAAAGTTTTGTAGCTAAGAGAACTGGTGACACTGATGCCTGTGGAAAAGCCTCCTGCCGTTCCATGGACGTTATTCAACAACTTAGAAGAAATCAAATGAGAGAAAAACCCTATAAATACCCTGAAAGTGTTGAATCTTTCAACAATTTCATTCCTCTTGGTGAACAAAAAATAACAAAAAGAGGGGAGAAACTGTATGAAGGCAAGGACTTTGGGGACATCTTTACCTTAAGTCCATCTCTTAATGTAAACAGGAGGAGTCTCCCTGGAGAGAAGCTGTACAAATGTACTGAATGTGGCAAATGCTTCAAACGGAACTCTTCTCTCGTTTTGCATCACCGAACTCACACTGGAGAGAAACCTTATACCTGTAACGAGTGTGGAAAGTCCTTCTCCAAGAATTACAACCTGAGTGTGCATCAAAGAATCCACACAGGAGAGAAGCCCTACAAATGCAGTAAGTGTGGGAAAGCCTTCAGTGATGGGTCAGCTCTGACACAACACCAGAGAATTCACACTGGGGAGAAACCTTATGAATGTCTAGAATGTGGAAAAACATTCAACCGAAACTCATCTCTGATTTTGCATCAAAGAACTCATACAGGGGAAAAACCATACAGATGTAACGAATGTGGGAAGCCTTTCACGGACATCTCCCACCTCACCGTGCATCTCAGAATCCACACTGGGGAGAAGCCCTATGAATGTAGCAAGTGTGGAAAGGCTTTCCGGGATGGCTCATACCTCACCCAGCATGAGAGGACTCACACTGGAGAGAAGCCCTTTGAATGTGTGGAGTGTGGAAAATCCTTCAACCGTAACTCCCACCTCATTGTGCATCAGAAAATCCATTCTGGGGAGAAGCCCTATGAGTGTAAAGAGTGTGGGAAGACTTTCATTGAGAGCGCATACCTCATCAGGCACCAGAGAATTCACACTGGTGAGAAGCCATATGGCTGTGACCAGTGTCAGAAACTTTTCAGGAACATTGCTGGCCTCATCCGGCACCAGAGGACTCATACTGGTGAGAAGCCCTATGAGTGTAGTCGGTGTGGAAAAGCCTTCAGGGACAGCTCCTGTCTGACCAAGCACCAGAGAATTCATACCAAGGAGACCCCGTACCAGTGTCCAGAGTGTGGGAAGTCCTTTAAGCAGAACTCCCACCTTGCAGTACATCAGAGACTCCACAGCAGGGAGGATCCCAGCCAGTGTCCTCAATGTGGGAAAACATTCAGAAGGAGCTCAGCCCTGGTCCGACATCAGAGAACACACGCTGGAGAGCATACCATGGATACATAATGAATGTGGGCACACTCGTTTCCTGAGTCCTCTTGAAAATCTGTGTGAAGGAGGGGTGTCTTTGGGAAGGCTCTTCCCTCAATATAAAAAAAAATTTTTTTTAAAGGAAAAAAGTCACTTGCATTGTCACGCCTGTGATAATCATCATTCAGCAACATTCTGGTGACCATCCTTCTTCCACCTCTATGTGTACATAATTTTGCATGGATGGAATCACATTACACACATGGTTTTTTAAATACAGAAACTTATTTTTAAATGTTTCTCTGCCTTATCCAGTGAATTGAATGTGAGACAGTCCTTAGCCATACCATTAAGTCACTAAATTCCTGGAGGGAATACAGAACGGTAATCAATGTGGAAAAGGCTTCAGGGATGATCGGCCTATACCAAACATGATAGCACATACACTGGAATAAAACCTGTGGGTGTCAGGAAGATGCTTCTCTGGAGATAGCCAGCTGCTCCTGCGTCAGTGTGCGTAAACTGGAAAGAACCTGTGAATGTGTTCTGTAGCCAATCGGGGCTGGGAATCCTTTAATTGGGAGTGTCTACCATATTGTACATATGCAAACTCTTAGCAGAATTGAATGCAATCAGAGCAGCTTTTGGCAGGAGGTCTTAATTACTTGTCTGTATTAGCAAAGATACGCTGGTGAGAGCCTCCCACCATGCTCCCCACCACAGCAAGCACAGAATTAGAGTAGATTGCTATTTGGTTGTATTTCAGTGTTATAGTCCTGCCAGGTGCGGAGGACTCATTTCAGAAGAGACACTTGGATGAGCATGTTGTGACTGTGCAGTGATATCCCTCTTAAGAAAAGACTGAAGTGGTCTTGTACAAGGATGGAACGGGCTGCTGTAGAAATGTGATACACTGCTTTAGTTGTTGAAACAAAATGACTGAGTTATGTTTACTTTTCTCCCCTGTTCACTTAGGACACCTCTGGTTTGTTCTGTGCTGAACCATAATTCTAAAGGTTTTGTATCCATATTGAAATGTTATAACATGGCAGGCAACAAAAAAAGTGGCATAAAGGAGATTTGCTGTTATGACAGCCGTGTGAAGGTATATTTACATGTGGTTGTAGAGTGGACGATAATGGAGTAATAAATGTGGTTTTCTTAAGGAACTGCAATTGTGTATGATTTTTTCTCTTTTACACACACATTGTTACTATAATAACTTGATAAGAAATAAAAAGGTGAAGCCAAAAGGACATGAATTTGGATCTTTTTTGCCAGAAGGGACTAGATTAGTGTCCCATGGCAGCTATAAGGCAAGATGCCGGGCAGTCAGGGAGAAGCTGTTCTAGAATCCAAGCATCCACGGCCCAGGACATAAAAATTTCCTTTTTTTGGGACTTGAATTGTGAGGGGGTATCACTGTGGAGAAATGGGTAGGCCTCAGCAAATGGGGAGTACAAGACTACAGAGAAGTCAGGGATGACCTGGGAATGTCCTTCCTGAGGCAAGTAGCCAAGTGAGAACTATTTCAGCTGCTTGACATTGCATCAAAGCCTGGGGGTGGCTTTTGTTCTGTTCACATAACAGCTTCCTTCTCTGAGCCCTGGGTTGGCACTGCTCACGTTCTCACCTTGTTTCAGGAGGCAGGAGGTGGCAAGAAAGCAAAAGAGAGCATATATGAGGAAGTCTCCATGTGTGAGATTCTGATAGGCTCTTGAGGGATGTTCTTGTTTGCCTTTGATGAGCACCACCAGGGGAGTAGGAAAAGCAGTTGCAGAAGACTGGATTCTCAGGAGGGTGAACCAAGCCCTGTTACTGTCACCTACAGGCAGTGTGTCACCTAGGAGCCAGTCCAGGGTGGGAAAAGGCTGTGGAGAGCCTTCCTATGCCTGGAATGCCAGCCATCCCACACCTAGGACTTGGAAGGAAGAGGGCCCACTTAGAGGTGATGGGCTGGGCCTTAAGTGTATCTCCAGCATGAGTTACCACCAGTATTGTGGTGTAAAGAAGGAGCTTGCAGCAGGTGATGAGCCTGGAGTGTTTTGAGGGGAACCCTATGTGTGTAGCCAGTGTGGGGAGTCCTTTGTGTGGGTCTCACATTTTACCCATCACCTCAGGAGTCACTGTGGCAGAAATTTCTACATGTGCCAGGGGTACTGGCAAGCCTTCCACCTCAGCCTGGCCGTGGCTGAGCACTAGAAGGCCCAGAAGAAAGAGCAAGGCCCCAACCCTGCCACATGCAGAGCCTGTGCCAGTGGGGGGATGGCTGGCTCCTGGAGTGTTTGGACATTAATGTTTTCCCTGTACAATCTGAGGCACAGAGACGAACCACTGCTTAGTGCCCCTGGTGGACAACTTGGCCTACGATTCCCAAATAACAAATGGGCTCCTTTAAAACCCTTGCATGAGTTCCTGTGGTGTCTGTGTGGATATAAGCCAGCTTGTTTGTTTTCTGAATTAGCTAATGTGGGTCAAATGGCACCCAGGAACAGCCCACAGCAAGCCCTTACCTCCTGTAAGCACACCACAGATGGTCATGTGTGAAGTAAGACTCTGCTTTCCTCTGTAGCCATTTTAGCACCAGCTGCACGTTGGAAAATTTGTCATTGTGCAAAGTGTAGAGTTGCTTTCAAGTGTGTGATCTGCCAACTTTCTTGATTATCAACCTTGTTTCCATTCTTTCCCAGGGCTGCTGTTCAAGCAGAAATCTTGACAGCTACTTTGGCCTTTTCATAAATATGTGATGTGAAGTTTACTTCTAAATCCTCAATAGCAAACTGTTTCTTAGTTTAACTCACCTGTCTTTATGTGTATGGAGTAGCTTACAAAGATCACAAGAACAATTGAAGCCGTGCAATGCCGTCTTTTCAAACCAGTTGCTTCAGCTCATTAGTGAATTGTAAAATCAATTTAGTGGATGCCACTGACATTACACAACCATGAAGCAGAATAAAATGGGTCAAAATTCATCATGTAAGCCCTGGCTGGTGTACCTTAGTGGATTGAGCACAGCCTGTGAACCAAAAGGTCACTGGTTCAATTCCCAGCCAAGACACATGCCTGGGTTGTGGGCCAGGTCGCCAGTAGGGGGTGTGTGAGAGGCAACCACACATTGATGTTTCTCTCCCTTTCTCCTCCCCTTCCCTCTTAAAAAAAAAAAAGAAAAAGAAACCATCATGTAGTAAAGGCAAATACTATTTTGTGAAACTTTTCAGCCATATCTAAATATGTTAATTATGAGAACAGGTTGCAATCTAACCTGTATTTTTTACTCGGATCAAAACAGCTTGAAAACACTAATAAAAGGTCATGAGGAAATGTGTCTGCCCGAGTAAGGGGAACTTCATTCCTTGAGCTACATCAGCAATCAGCAGATCTTTTGAATTTTGTATTTAATCTCAGATTACAGCACTGTTTTCATGACCTGACCATAAAGTTAACTGCTTCCTGTAGCTACAGAAACTGGTACAACTTTCTGTCACCATGTTTGAGCACCAGTCTGACACCCAATGCACAGAGGCTTAACATAATACAGGATTTATTTCTTCACTTGCAGTACAGTCTTGTAGCTGTAGCTGTTACTTCCATGGTGGTGCTGGGAGTACTGCTTCCTGAGACTCAGAGACCCAGGTTCCAACACTGTTGCAGCTCTGTTATCCTCTGGATGGTTGGAACATGAGGGCCAGTCACTCAGCTGGGAGATAACACATCACTTGCACTTGTACTTGTGCATTCTCAGAGACACATGATCTCATGGCCTCAGTCACTTGCAAGAGACTGAAACTGCCTGGATGCCTGTCCCTTCCTGTCTCTTCTCAGCCTGTCCACCCCGAACCTGAAGCTGGGTGTGGCTCTGGTGGATATGTCTATTGATGAGAGAGAGAGAAGAGGAGGAGAGGGGAGTGGGAGGGAGAGAGAGAGACATCAACCAGTTACCTCCCGTATGCACCTTGACCCACAAGCTAGAGATGTGATCTGACCGGGGATCAAACCTGCAACCTTTTGGTGTATGGAATGATGCTTTATTCAGTTGAACCAACACCCAGCCGGGGCTGGCTCTGGTAATTCTTCAAAGAACAACTACATTTGCCCTTTCAACTGTTGTTCCCAGCCTAACCAATGGGTTCAGTTCTGCTGCCACAGTATCACTCCTGAGATACATCCCACTCAGCTTTGATGCCCACTAATGACTCCTTTGTTATATTACCCAGCACTCAGTCCCTTCAATTTCCCACATTGTCTCATTTACTGCACAGCTGAATGCCTGTGCCTTGTTTACTTTATTTGGAAATAATTTAAAACTTAAGCCCTGGCTGGTGTGGTTCAGTGGATTGAGTGTGGGCCTGCAAACCAAAGGGTTGCTGGTCTAGGGCACATGTCTGTGTTGTTTGTGGGCCAGGTCCCTGGTGGGGGGACTGCAACAGAAGACCACACATTGATGTTTCTCTGTTTCTTTCTCCCCCTCTAAAAATAAATAAAATATTAAAAAAAAAACAAAAGGCACAGAAATATTGAAAATAGTATCGATGTACCCTCATCCAGACCCACCTGTTGTTAACATTTTACCTTCTCTGCCTGCGATTTGTGTGTACTATCACTGCAAACACACACAGACACACACACCTGGGTAGTGCACAAAGTCCTCATTTTGCCAGTAGTGATTCTTTTGCTCACTCAAAAGTGTTGCCCAATTTCTCCATCATATAGTTACTATTTCTCCCTTTTAACTAATAACCAATATATGAGACATTTAAGATAATGCAAATATCTGCCTGCTTACCAAAATATCCCTGCTAGGGTCAGCCTCCATTCATGACTCTTGCTTGAATCAGTCCTTACCCTTGATGGTTGCAAAGTGTCAATTATCCAGTGTCAGTCTTCTGCCCATTTGCTGAGTCCTTGGCACTCTGCTTCAAGCTAGCACCCTCCCTTCTCTCCATTTATTTGTCACTATTACCAGATGGACTCATGGATTCCTGTTTTCTCAAATGGTTGATAACTGACTGCTGTCAGTGATTTTGGTGCTTAAGTTGTCCAAGGTGAGGTCAGTAAGAGTCTTAGAGGAAGTTTCCATCTGGTGCCATACCTCTGATATACCTCTGATGTATTTATTTTTAGTGTAAGATGTTCCAAGCTCATCTTTCTGCTTCCCTCAGTTCTGAAATCAGTCATTTCTCCAGTTATAAAGAACTCATTCTCTTGAGTAGGGGATGGCATTAGGGACCAAATCTGATGCCAGGTGTGCTCCTTTCTATTAGGGTGTCTTCTACAGAGCTAGGAAATAAAGGCATATATATGGACATATATAGGTACACAAAAGTGTGTGTGCACATATACATACATACATTTCCAATTTATAACATCCCCATAGTTTCATGTCTAATAGTGAGAACCCTGAGACCCACAAAATCAACATAAAATTTTGCTGAATCCTAAAATACCTCTAAAACAGTTTCAGAATTGCTTTTCTCAAGCTACTACAAAAAGAAAAACCTAATGAAAAGGCTTAATTTATTGCAAAATAATGCAGACAACTAACTTAAAACCTGTTTATAGTACACTGATACTTTGTCATATAGAATTCAAATCTGTATGACTGGTTGCTGTGTACCTTGATCAAACAATGTACATACACATAGATGAGAAAACTTTATACTGAGACAGTTGAGTGTGCATGGTGATTCCATAGATACCACTCACTTTTGTGGAGCCCTCGGCCATATGGATTTTAGGGAGTATCACTGTCTATCTGTTCCATTCTTAAGAACTCCCTACTCAAGAATGTTATGTGTAATAATGATAAACTCTCACTGCACTTGATTCTTTTATATGAAAGGCATTTGTTGGGTTTCTCACTACTTTTTCAAATCTCAAGTTTGGAATCTGGTGAATCCTTAAGACGGAAGACCCGGACAAATCCTCATTACCCACTTCTCTCTTCTGTGGGTTCTATAATTTAGTGTTAATGGTTACTCATGGATAAAGAATCTCAACAATAATTATCTCATTTTCTCTACTGTTAGGATGAATTGAGGACTGTAGTGTGTGTGAAGTCATCTATACAAATGTTTGTCACCTTGTTCATTAGAATGATTGGGTCAAGTGTTGGAAGGGATGAACTATGGCTCAAGGCTCCCTATGCCCCAGTTCATATAGAGTGCCTCTACCCAGTATGAGTTCTCTGGTGCTTAGTCAGGGAAGAGCTGTGTATGAAGGCCTTTCCACAGTCCCTGCAGTCATATGGCTTCTCACCAGTATGGATCCTCTAGTGCTGAGTGAGGTGAGTGCTTTGCTTGAAGGATTTCCTGCAATCTGGACACTCATATGGCTTTTCCCCAGTGTGTGTCCTCACATGTTGGCTCAGTGATGAACTGTGACTGAAGGATTTCCCACTCATTACATGCATATGGCTTTTCCTTGGTGTGGATTCTCTGGTGCTCTATAAGAGACCTCTGGCTGAAGGCCCTGCCACACTCATTACACTCATAGGGCTTCTCTTCCTGTGTGGATCCTCTGATGCTGAATGAGTGGAGCAAGCTGGCTGAAGGCCCTGCCACATTCGTTACACTCATAGGGCTTCTCCCCAGTGTGGATTCGCTGGTGCTTCGTTAGGGATGAGTTGTGGCTAAAGGCCCTCCCACAGTCACTGCACACGTAAGGTTTCTCCCCTGTGTGTATCCTCTGATGTTGACTGAGGTGTGTGCTCTGCCGGAAGGCCTTGCCACACTGCCTACACTCATAGGGCTTCTCTCCTGTGTGGGTCCGTTCATGCTGGCTTAGGGATGAGCTGTGGCTGAAGGTTTTTCCACACTCGTTGCACCCATAGGGCTTCTCCCCAGTGTGAATCCTCTGATGCTCAGTCAGGAGTGTGCTCTGGCTGAAGGCTTTCCCACACTCATTGCACTCATAGGGCTTCTCTCCTGTGTGTGTCCTCTGATGCTGAATCAGTGGTGTGATCTGGGTAAAGGCTTTTCCACACTCATGACACTCAAAGGGCTTCTCCCCAGTCTGGATTTGCTGGTAACTGTTTAGAGAAGAGCTGTTGGCTGAAGGCCCTGCCACAGTCATTGCACTCATATGCACACAGTCTCCTGTGTGTATTCTCTGATGTTGACTGAGATGTGTGATCTGCTGGAATGTCTTTCTACACTGACTGCACTCACAGGGCTTCTTGCCTGTATGAGTCTACTTGTGTTTGTTAAATGAAGACCTAAAACTAAAGGACTTCCCACTTTCGCTGGACTTGAAGGGCTTCTCAGCCGTGTGAGTTCTCTGGTGCTGGATGTATAGCACAGTCTGACTGTAGGTCCTGCCACACTGCATACACATACAAGGTTTCTCACCAGTGTGGATTCTCTGTTGTTTGTTAAGTGCCAAGCTGTTTTGGATGCCTTTTCTACAATCATGATATTTTAAGGTCTCTTTCCTGTGTATGTTCGGTGTTCAATGAGTGCAGAGCTGTGATGAAAGTACTTTCCACATTCCTGACATCTGTAGGGCTTGTCTATTGCATGGGTTTTCTGTTGCACATTTAACATCGAGTCTGTATTCTCCCTTTTTCTGTGCATTCCCCATGTGTGGGATCTTCATCTTTTAGGACTAATGTGTTTAGTTGGGAGATCAGGGCTTAGACTTAAGTTTTACTCAGCTGTGCTTCTGAATGGATGTCTTCACAGGCATGAATGCAGCCTGAAACACAGTGCCATTGAGACTCTCACAACTCTGTTCCCAGTGGCCCTCAGCGTCTTCACCCTTATAGCCCTGCAGACCGTCCCACAGGAATATTTCTACCAGGACATTATTGGATAGATCTTCAGAGATATCTTGTTTTGCAGATGAACATTTGGGTTTTGATCTACTTTCTAAGTCTGAAAAGAAACAACAAAAATGGAATTGTTCCTTAATCCTTTTTATGGGGGGGTGGGGGAATTGTCTGGATAGGTGGATGGAGAATTAAACCACTTGAATCCAAAACGCAAGTGGCTTTGACCATTTAACCATATGGTTTTGTAAACCAGAGGAGGAACAGAAGAGGGAAGAAAAGTTCAGAGACAGTGGAGTGGAGTTGGTATAAGGGGTACAGATGGAATTGGCAAGGGGAGTGTAGAGAATTGGGGCTGAAGAAGATGCTGAAGCAAGGGTGAGCCTTCAGGGAAAATGTCATCAGATGCCCAGGTTGGGAAGGAGCAGAGTGACGGTAAGGCCCTGGATAACACAGTGTCTAACACACCAGGTGGTGATGGAGGAAAAGCCACTATGTGGAAAGGACCACCTAGCCCTCCCATTGCTCAGAAATAGCCTCTTCTTGGAGACCCCTCACTGTTGTACTGCCTCACCCCAGATATAAAGAAACCCATCAGCTCCCCAGACTGAAATCTGCTGAAAAGTCCGTCACTAGGAAGATCAATACATGACTGTGGTATGTTAGAGTCCTTTCAGTTAGTTTATTCTGTGTGTCTTGTAACTGGAAGGATCCTGCCAGCACAACCTTTGTCTGCCTTACTTCACCACTGTTCCCTTACCCACAACAGGAGTCAACAGACATGCTGAATAATAAACAGTTGCAGTCCCTCTCCTTCCTGGCAGGATGACCTTTCTGCCCTGGTATCCAGACTCCCCTCTGACACTATACTGGCCTAAAGCTGTGATGTGGGCACCTTTCCCATTTACACCACACTTTAATGAAAAGTTAACAGGGAAAAAAGTCAAAAGCAGAAGATTGCCCCCAATAGATGTTCATATTGTCATGTCTGGAACCAGTGAGTATGCAGTCACCTTACATGTGAATGAGAAATTAAGACTGTTGATCACCTGTGACTACACTAAATTTTTGGGATGTAGCCATGTAACCACAGGGTTCTTAAATGTGAAAGGAGCAGGAGAGTCAGGGTCAGGGTGGCCTGCTGTGTAAAAACCTGTCCAGCCAAGTCTGACACTGAAGATGGACAAGGCCATATGTCCAGGAATGTGGGAGCCTTGAGAGGCTGGAGAATGTATCAATATGGATTCTCTCCAGACCTTCCAGAAGGAATGCTGGCCTGCCAACATCTTGAATGCAGCTCAGTCAGACAGTTTGGACTTGTGTCCTCTAGAACTGTAAGATCTTTTGTGTTGCTTCAAGTACTACAGTTGTGGTAATTTCTTACAGCAGCAATAGGAGGCTAATACACTGGATGAAGGTTTGTTATCATTTCAGAAGGGGAGACCCTGCAGTGACCTTCCTCTTAGGAGGAAGGATCTGTCATCTCACACACTGTCCAACTTTTCTGGGCACTGGCCATGGGCCCCTGCTTACATAGGGTCATGGCCTGACACCAGTGGGAACTGCCTGCCCAAGGGCCAGGACATACCCACTTCTTACAGAGGTGCCTGCCGGTCTCAGGAGCTGGACAGCAGGTATGAAGAGCAGAACCACCCAGCCAATCTACAGGCATAAGAGCCAGGCCTAGAGCCATGACACACAGATGCCTGGGTCAGAAGTGAACCTCTGGTTTAAAGCACTGAGGATGAGATGTCTGTTACTTCAGTAAGAGATCTGCAACCCCCCAGTGTGCCTGCACCTGCTCTTTCCTACACCTGGAATCTGTTCTCCCAGATCGTTTCATGGAGGCCCTGTTCTTATGGTTCAGGTTTCAGCTCCCATGTCACCTCCTTCGATAGGCGAGCTCTCATCTCTCTGCTCAAGTCCTCCCCCCAATTCTAGTCTCCACCTCCTCACCTACTTTCACTTCTCAGCATTCATCATAATCTGTCACCATCCTATTCACTGTTGTTATTATATTTTTAGTTATGTATTGTGTGCCCCTCTCCTTCACCAAGGATGTAAATTCAGGGAAGACAGGAATTTGGTCACTCATGAGAGAATGGTGGTTGGTGAGTGTTCACTGACAGGTGAGTAGTCAGTTTTCTCTGAAGAATCTGAGATCAGATATGGAGGAAGACCTGTACGGGTGAGTGTGGTCCTCCCCACCCTGCAAACTCTCACCTCACACCTTGTGGAATCTCCTCACTCACAGGCCATGGCTTTGCCTCCTGCTCCAGCAGGGACATGAGGGGGGCCTTTAGGAACCAATGTCCTGCTTAGGGGGAAACCCAGGATATTAGCAATTGTATCCTAGGGCCCTTCCAATGTTTTGCCCACTGCATCCTCAGCCTTCTAGGACCAAAGTAGCTGAGAACACAGAGAGACCACAGTTATTGTGGTAACAGCTCCCAGGGTCCTTCCACTGTCAGTCCTGGACCCCAAATCTGGTTCCAGGGTAGACATGTGACCAGATCTGGCCATCCAGTGGAAAGTCTGTTATAGGGAACCGATTAGCATGGCATGGGAAATGTAGCCCAGCATTGATCCAGAAAACCAATCGAATGCGAGGTGGCACACAGGAGCCAGATGTGCAGATCGGCTTTCTCATGGGGAACAGGCATGCACGGTACCTAGGCTGCTATGAGACTTGCTTTTGCTAAAACTCCCTCACCCTGAGTTGAAACTGCAGATGTTTAATGTATATTTCTGAAGCAACTCCCTAAAGTCTGTGCTAAGACATTCCAAGGATGAAATGGAACCAAATCAATAATTTTTATCATTCCCTTGCAATTGCAACATTTTTTCTCTTTTTTTTTTGTTATCTGTAAGAAGTAATCACTTAATGTAAATCTAAGAATAATTAATGAGAACCTTCTTTGATGTAATATGACTGGAAAGCAATAAAATCTTGTCCATGCAAGGGTTGAGGTGCTCTCCCCTTGAGAGAGTAGCCAAAGCACTCTCTCTCAGAGTCTCTCTCAGAGAGACTGCCTGGTTACACTGAAATTGTTGGTTTCATTCTAGATGTAGCTCGTGCAGATGTAGCAGGAAAATAAGAAAACCTACCATCTCAGTGAGCACCACGCTGCCTCCCAGGGAGGGGCAGCTATGCTTGTATTTTCATGGTTAGGGTTAGGGTTAGAGTAGCCATGCCGTCCCTTTCTCTCCACAGGACTTCTGCAGTCTGTGTGAATTTCTTTATGGCATCTACAACACACAGATTCTGGCAGGCTGGAGTGTGCATCAGTCTGCTCCCTCCCCTGCACCCTGGCAACAATGACCTGTGTGGAGGGGATGGGGCTGCTGAAACAAGACAACCCAGGAGCCTTTGAGGTGCACCTAGGACATAGTCTTTTCTGCTGGTCTTGAATCCTGGTAGCTGTTATGTCATCTTCAGAGGGCACACTGGTGAATGGTGGCAGAAAGAGATGCAGAGGGAGAAAGTGGGGAAGAAGGGGGCTCCTGAAACCACGAAAGGAACACCCAGGTCTGGCCTGGGATTCTGAAGTTTTGGGATGCAGTATCTGTCTCCTACATGAGATGTCTTGCCTCTGGCATTTTTAGGTGAGATCTGTAAATAGCAGCCAAAACATCCTCATTGATATTCCCTAAACCAAGAATAGCCTAGTCACTAAGGTCCACGATGCATCCAAAATACCTGCTTTTAATGCCAGACTACCCCACTTCTAACCCCGGAAAATGAGAGTCCATACTAGGGTGTGGCCTTACCCATGAAGACTAGGAGCCCAAAGGCCTCCAGCATCACATCACGGTACAGGGTCCTCTGAGCAGGTGTCAGCTGTCCCCACTCCTCCTGGGTGAAGTCCATGACCACGTCCTCAAAGGTCACTTGCTCCTGGAACATCACACAGGAGTTTCCTCAGTCACAGTGAACCTGGCATTTGGTTTGTGGGAATAGCAGGTGAACTCGGATATGTCCAGTTTAGGTTGGTAGAGATTCTCTCAAGTCTGAGGATTTGGGTCAGATTTTTAGGTGGGATCTGGGGTCTGGGCAGTAGGGGAAGGCAGCAGCTGAAAACTGTTAGGTTGGAATCCTGCCTCATGCTTGTGGTCAAAACAACCTGACATGTCCAAGACATATGCACGATGAATAAAACAGAGCCTTTGATAAAACAGAAATTTTAAAAATCTTTAAATTTTTAAAATTTAAAGATGGATGGAGATTTTTGTAGTCATGACACCATGATACTCCCATTCACCTTTATGTTTTGCAAAACAAAT